AGGAAGAAAGCCACAGGACTGCCCATTCAGTCTTGGGAAGATCCAGATGATTCTGCACAAGCAAAAATGACTTGAAATTTATGTATAGACACACCTCTACCAATCCATCTTCAGCTGACTGAATGTTGTATGATAGCCCTTCTCCAAAGCAGGGGTGGAATGTTCTGGTTTCACCACAGATTTTCTACTCATTTCATTTTTGGAATCAGCTTATAGATTCCAGGTCCCTTTTGTATATAAACTGTATTCTTTTGCATTTTTAAAAATAATTTTGTTTCATATTTAAAGCACTTGTATTAGTCAATGATTCGTGTTCAGCATTATTTGAACCATTTGCCCTTACAGAAAGAGAAATACTTATTTGTGTTTTAAATAAAACTGGTGTAGGAACGTCTTGACGTTGTGAATTAAGTAATCTTACATCACTTTAGCGTGGGATCCACCTTGACGAGAGTCCCCAGTCAGAATGTTGTTGGCCTTTTGTGTAAGTGCCCCAATTTCACAGGTATTATTTGGCTTTAGAAACCTTTCATGAGGACATATTGCCAAACTTATCCACAAATGAGCTGAGTTTTAGCTACATGTGCTTTTTTAGGTATGCTGCATATATGTAGGTGAAGGTTTTTCTGATACTGATACTTAGTTCTTACCATTGTAACTCAAGTGATGCCATTAATTTTTTTAAAAGAGGGAGAGTTTAAAAGCAATGTTAGATTAAACATTTTAGAACTTTCAAGCATTGAGCCAGGTGTGGTGGCTGGTGCTTTGTAATCTCAAGCTACTCAGGAGGCTAAGGCCAGAGTATTGCTTGAAGCCAGTAAGTCTAGCCTGGGCAACAGAGCAAGACTTCATCTCTAATTTTTTAATTGTTATAAGAATACATATAAACTTAGTAGCTACCAAAGAACATAGATTTTTTTCCTATTAGTAGTCTAAAAGCAGTCCCAACAAGTTGAATCAACTTTTCACAAAAAGCAAAACAATGGTATATTTAGTTTTGAATGACAGTTTTCAATTTTAGTAGTAATAAAAGGGCCCAAATGTTGCCATTTGGCCATAGCTAGAAATATCAAGATAGTTTCATAATTCATATATTTTGTCTCAATATGAATGATTCTTAGAGTTCTGACTTGAACCCTAAATCACAATAGATCCTTTCATGTGGCCAGAACATAGAATGTTTGTTTTCATCTCAACCAGTCTTTGAAACTATCACAGACATAAGACTGATGTTTAATAATTACAGTTGCAAAAACAAAGCTTGATTTATATTGATCAAAATTCTATGGTCTTTTTCTAAAACTGTAGCTTCATTTTGCTAGATTAACTGCAATTCCTTAAAACATTTGGTTTTAATTTGACAGTTTAGCAACAGGAAATACGTGGTCTCCAGTTGTAACTGCTTAAGAGGTAACACTTTTAAAGGAGCTAACAGTTACTGAATACTTATGTGCCTTTAATTCACATACTCATTGACAGTAATCCTGCACTACCTTGAAAGATCACTACTTTATTCCTTCACTGTAGTTTCTAGGTCACAGTGTTCAAAGTATATATTCTTACATACCATTGGGTTTGATAAATTGAACTTTTGATTCAAGAGTTCTTTTTTTAAATCTGACTTGATGAAGCTGCTTAATCTTTGAAAGTGCCCATAACCCAGACATTTGACAGCATAATTAAATCTCCAATCTGCAATTTCTTTTGAATTTGCAAAATGTTAGTGCATAAGTACAAAGAAAATACTTGACCATTTCATAACAATATACAATAAAATGGGCCTAAAGAAATAATGACCTTCTAGTCTGATCCCTGAATTTAAAATTTAAAAAAAAAAAAAAGAAATAATGACCCTAAATAAGAATAATCCAGAATTTAATTTTACATTAAAGTTAATTTAGGATTCAGATTTTACTGAGTGGGCGTATGACTCAGCTGTTTAGATTTGGTTGGGTTTAACTGCTAAAGTGTTGCAGAGTCAGAGTCTATGGTGATAAGCAAAAAGCAATGAATTACAATTTGGTATTGCCTGTTCTTGGTTTTTTTTTTTATCTTAACACATTGACTGCCACATTAGAAAAAAAATTTTTCCTTGGGGCCATGGTGTTTTATTATGAAAATAGAATAAAAACTTTGAAAACAAAATGGTCCTTTCTAATTTAATGAAAAAATTTGTTACTGTTTTCTGTGCGTGAGTTCTGTGCAATTTGAAAAGCATTTCAAGTGGCTCCTGTGAGTACATATACTTCGTGAGGCCCCAGGCTCACGTGGCAATTAATGTGTTAAACTAATTTGGCCTCAAGGTAGAATTGAAGCAACAGTCTACACAGAGCTAAATGTAAGTAGGGGATAAATGGAGCCAAAACCTGATTGTGAAAAAGATGCAGAAGGACTATAAAAAGACTGCTATAATCTGCAAGTTCTGCTATAATCAATAAAAAGACTGCTATAATCTGTCCTGGGATTAAAAGAAAAGGAAAAAAAAGACCCTATTATTTGTTGAATAGATATATCAGATAGGGAATTAGGTGGATCAAGAACACTCAAGAGTAGGAGAAAATTTTAGGGAAGAGGAGAAGCAAAATGGAAGGAACCCTTACCTGATAGGTATATGTGGTTAATGAAGTTTGGGTTAGGTGGAGTGGCTCACGCCTATAATCCTAGCACTTTTGGAGGCCAAAGTGGGAGGATCACTCAAGCCCAGGAGTTCAAGACCAACCTGAGCAACATATCCAAGCCCCATCTCTACAGAAAAGAAAAACTGTGGCATGCACCTGTAGTTCAGCTGCTTGGGAGGCTGAGGCAGGATACTTTGAGCCCAGGAGTTGAGGTTGCAGTGAGCTATGATGCACTCCAGTCAGGGCAATAGAATGAGACTCTGTCTTAAAGGAAAAAAAAGTTTGGGTTGGGAGCTCAACGAGGGTGATGAAGTTTAGAAAAGGTACTGTGAGGAAATATGAAAAATAAATTGGCATTAACTGCCACAAGTATTTTGGACGCCCACCCCTTGAAGAGGCTCAGATTAGAATATTATGAACTTGAACCATCATTAAACCCTACTGGGCAGTATAAGCAAAAGCTCCGCCCTTGAAGTAGTTAGAGAGGAAATATTAATACTATTAAAAAACAGGAGGTAAGTAGGTGAAAGTATAAAGTGGGTGACTTTACAGACCAAACGAATGAGAAATCAACGAGTTTGAGACTGGTCAGGAAAGGTTTCCTGGAGGTGTTTGTTACAGCTGGACTTTGTGTGGCTTCAAATGAGATGACTTGGTACTCTCATAGAACCCCTGCCTTACCTTATGTTTGCTCAGCTGTCAACTATTCTTCACTAAGGTATAAATTGATCTTTTAAAAAACGATGAACAGCCGGGCCTGGTGGCTCACGCCTAGAATCCTAGCACTCTGGGAGGCCGAGGCGGGCGGATTGCTTGAGGTCAGGAGTTCGAAACCAGCCTGAGCAAGAGCAAGACCCAGACCCCGTCTCTACTATAAAATAGAAAGAAATTAAATGGCCAAATAATACATATAGAAAAAATTAGCCGGGCATGGTGGCGCATGCCTGTAGTCCCAGCTACTCGGGAGGCTGAGGCAGGAGGATCGCTTGAGCCCAGGAGTTTGAGGTTGCTGTGAGCTAGGCTGACGCCACAGCACTCACTCTAGCCTGGGAAACAAAGGGAGACTCTGTCTCAATAAAAAAAACAATCCTAGTACTCTGGGAGACCAAGGCCCATGGATGGCTTGAGCTCAGGAATTCAAGACCAGTTTAAGCAAGAGCGAGACCCCACCTCTACCAAAAATAGAAAAAATTAGCCAGGCATGGTGGCGTGTGCCTGCAGTCCCAGCTACTCGGGAGGCTGAGGCAGGAGAATCGCCTGAACCCAGGAGTTTGAGGTTGCTGTGAGCTAGGCCCATGCACTCACTCTAGCCCAAGCAACAAAGCAAGACTTTGTCTCAAAAAAAAACAAAAGAAAAAAAAAAATATATATATATATAAATCACTTTCATCTCAGCATCTTTATGATGGCTGGCATTAATATTATGCCCATTAAACAGAAGACCTCAGTTAAACATTTTGATTGGGCCATTTGCCCTAAGCGGTGTTCCCTTAGGCAAGTCTTTTCAATTTTGAGCTTCAGTTTCCTCATCTATAAAATGGGCTTTCCAATTAAATGAAATTTCTGCCAGGCCACAAGCCATGGCATAATGGAAGTGGGTCTTGGCGTCAGGAACACCTGAATTTCAACACAGCACTTACTACTGTGCTACCCGGGGAAGGACGACACATTCGAACACCGAGGCTTTAACATATACACACACGGAGAGTATCATTGCACTGAATCTTTTATCTCCTGAGGAAGGTACATGTTCATCTCCACTCTGGAAAGAACTAAACCAAGACGCAGGGAGGCTGAGCGAGCTGGATCTGCGCTCAGCAAGCAGGTTTCCGCGCCTTCACGCTAAATCGCCACCCTCAGTTGCCACCGTGACAATGATTCTTCACAAGGTTGATGAGAGTCGAATCGGTTAACTGGAGCAAACCACAGCGTCTGGCTTTGGAGTTCAGACTGCCCGCGGCTGAGTGCTACAGGTAAGGCCTGGCGTTTGGGATTCTTGCTGTCCTGCCCTTTCCACCACGATGCTGCTATCAAGCCCAAATTCCAGCACAGTAGGCCTCAAGGAAAGCACTAAATTAAGTTATTTTACAGACAGTCACGCAGTGAGATGATTTTGGCTCTTAAAGCCAACTCAGAAAATGAAGACACCACGGCATGCCGCCCTCAATGGCCGCCGCACCGAAGCCCCTCGGCGCCTCCTTCCGCCTCCCTCCAGGTGTCGCTGCAGGATCCACCCAGGTTCCAAAGAGCCGTAGCCTCATTTGGCCTCCCCCGGATGCTAACGCAGCACAGAGAAAAGCGACTTCATGGCTAGAGAGGCCTTTTCCTGGAGCCGCCCAGGTCTCCGTGTAACCACCATGCACTTCCGCTTCCGGTTCTTTTTTTCCGGAAGTTGCTTTCGGAGGTGGCGCGCGGGTCGGTGTGGTCTTTGTGAGCTTCCGCCATGGCGTACCGTGGCCAGGGCCAGAAAGTGCAGAAGGTGATGGTGCAGCCCATCGTATCCTACGCGGGATGTCAGGAGCAGGCGGTGCGGGCCAGAATGTCGGGTGCGAAGGCGCAGGCTGGGAGACGGCCGGAGGGAGCGCAGTAGGGACCCACATCCCATGAGCCCCCGGGGCGACCCAGGCCGGGAGAAAGCGCGGGCAGTGGAAGAAGCGGTGACGGGCGGGAGGTGGGCTTGGGCAGACCCCTGCGGCGGGAATGCAGGGATGGAGGGGACGAGCGGAAGCAAGACAACTTTAGGTACTCAGTGAAAAAGGGAGTTAACGGTCTTGAGCAGGAGGAAGATGTCGGTACAAGGAAACTCCAGGAAAATAAGGGGGCTCCTGGGGGGCCCCTTGTAAGTGCCCATTTGGGCACTTTTCGTTGAGTAGGCACCAGATCTCCCGTTCAGAAAATAAAAGATGTGGGTAGATTCGCAAGTTTCAGGGAGCAGAGTCTATGCTACTTGTAAACTTTTTCCTTAACCGCTGTGGTACAGAACCTCATCTTCAGATACTTACAAAATGTAAGTAAGTTAATTGTTTCGCGACTATTTTAAGCAAAAAACGAATTTATTTGGTTATTTGTGTCAACTTCTTTGATCACTGTGTTCTAGAGTTTAAAGAAATAGATGAAACTAGAGATTGGAGGGATAATTAAGGGAAAAGATGGAGGGAAAGCTCAAATGGTGTGTATTCATGCCAGCTCCAAGCGTACAAAGAATTGTGTTATCATTACTTTGCAAAATCAGAATAATTGTTTTCGGAAAGTATGTCTTTGCAGACGTGGTATGGTTTTTGAGCATTGGTATTTTGTTAGTAGTGATTTTGGCCAGAACATTAGAACCTTTTCACGTTTGTACCTTCTAAGATGAAACATTGGAAGAAAAACCCAATAAACTTAAACCATGTGAAAAGGTGGTATATTTATTACCTGTGGGAAAACTTGAATTTTAAAAGACACTAAAAAAGGAAGAGGGGAAGAAGGTAGAGTGAGACCCTGGTGGCAGCTGCTTTTCTCCGGGGAGGTTTTTAGCAACTTAAATTTTAGAGTGGGACAAACAACATAATTGAAAAACAGATTAATTTCAAGCCATTATAACTTTTAACAACCAGAATTGATTGCTAGGTGTGTGACATGGAAATCTGAGAACCTAGAGAAATTTCTGTTCTGGAGCTGGATTTTGCTGTAGGAGTTAAGAAACAAGTCCTTGATCATTAGAAATTACTGGTTTGTGCTATACTGTCATCAGTTTTCACTCTAAATGTATTGAGACTAGAAGTAAGAAATACCATTAAGACCTAAGATCACAGAAAAATTATTAGTTTGGACAGTTCCAATATGGCATTTATTAAATAAAAATATTTCTTGGCAAGTAACCATTCTTGGTTAACAATTCTTAGACATGGGTGGACTTAAAGCTCTTATGTTCATTAAAAGTTTTTTTTTATGAGCCATATTTCTCTATTATTTGACAAAAGTTACTTGATTTTGTTTACTTTTTAAAAAAACTCTCTATTTTCATGACCATTTCAGAGATCCCGGATTCAGGTGTGGCTCTATGAGCAAGTGAATATGCGGATAGAGGGCTGTATCATTGTGAGTATCCAGGCTATTTCTATCTCAGAGCAGCTTGTTCTAGAAAAAGACTTCACAGAAAATGGTCAGCCAGAGCAATGTACAAAAAGTCAAAGATCCAACCCAGGGAATGTTTTTCAAGGGCCACTAATTTAGCTTTTTCATTGTTCTAGTTGATATGGAATAGGTAATTCAAAAAAGAGGGAAAATTAACTTTTAAAAGTCATTTGAGCCAGGTGTACTAGCACATGCCTATATTCCCAGCTACTCCAAAGGCTGAGGATCACTTGAGCAAGACTTCCAGGATAGCAGGATACCCCCAGTAATATTTTAAAGAAAGATAAAATATGACTAGAGGTATTATGTTGGGACACTTTTATATTTCGTTTAGACACCAGAAATTCCATCAATAATCTCGTATTTACCAGTTGGAAAACAAGTGTAGTAGGTGATGGTAATGGTGTTTGTGGGAACATGGGGAGTGCGGTGGTAGAAGGTAATTCCTATAGGTACACCCATATTCTATATTGGGCAGGTTATAAAAGAAAGGGAGAATGGTTTGTTGGCATATCTATTGAAGTCCTAAATCCAAAAGGTTGAAGAAGTAATTTGGACTACATTCTAGCTTTCTTTGTTATTTAAAAAGAGATTTCAGTAGGACGCAGTGTTTCAGGTAAAAGGTCTGTAGAGGTGAATTTCAGAAGTTGTAATTTCTGTGTCTTGATAGGCGTACTCATTTAGAATGGTTTGGACATGATTTTACTTGAGGATGACAGTCCACTGGCTTATTTTTCTAGGGTTTTGATGAGTATATGAACCTTGTATTAGATGATGCAGAAGAGATTCATTCTAAAACGAAGTCAAGAAAACAACTGGGTAAGAATACAGATGGTTTTACAGAAATGTTTATTCGCTTGTACAATTGAATGACTTGCAGCTCACTTTGTGTTTAAACTTAGTTTGCATTGAGAAGTTATTAGTTGGGGGAGTAGAACACTTTAGAAGTCACCCTCTGCCACCTACTCTTCACCTCGCTCTACTTCTGCTGCTCTCACCATCCAGACAGCTCTCACCAAGGTCACCAGAGGTGACCACCAAAGGCTAATGGTGTTAAATCTAATGGTCAGTGTTAGTTCTCATTTTATTTAATTCTAAGCAGCATTTAGCACTGTTGGCCACTCCCTCCTTAAGACACTTTGTTTCCTTGTCTGAACTGGAAGGGAGAAGGTGATTTTTGTTTTCCCTCCCTCAGTAATAATCAACACAGAAGACTTCTGTGACCAGATGTGTGGCAGTGTTTTCCCTATACACTAAGCAGGCAATCAGTTCTGCAGCTGACACCAGCTGGGTGTCCTCTAATTCTACCTGGAGATAGCATCAGATCCCACAGGTTGAGGGCTCGTTCCCCTGAGACTTCCTCCCCCATACCATCCAGAAGCTCCAGGTGGTTTTACCTATGCATCTGACTGGCTATAAATTGGGGTTCCCTCAGCTCCATTCCTGGGTTTGACTAATTTGCTAGAGCAGCTCACGGAACTCAGAGAAACACATTTACTGGTTTATTATAAAGGATGTTACAAATGATAAAAATGAAGAGATTCATAGAGCAAGGCATGTGAGAAAGGGTGCAGAGTTTCCATGCCCTCTCAGGCTGGCCAACCTCCGGGAATTGTCCTTTTGGGTTTTTACGAAAGCTTCATTACATGAGGATGACTAATTAAACCATTGGCCATTGGTGATTGACTTAAACTTCAGCCTTTTCTGCTCCCCCAAGGTTGGGAGTGGAGCTGAAAGTCACAACTCTCTAATCATGCCTTGGTCCTTCCGGTGACCAGGTGGGCAGCCCCCATCCTGAAGCTACCTAGGGGCTGCTGGCCATCAGCCAACTCATCAGCATACAAAAGATCACTTTGGAGAATCTAAGGATTTTAGGAGTTGTGTGCCAGGTTATTTTACAGTATCACAGTTCTGTGATACTACAATTGGGTTTTCATTTGTGATTATTTCTTTTCAGACTTTTGTATATTCATTATTTGAGACCCAGCCATTAAATGTTTGAGTTGCTTACGACTTGGTTCTAGGCTGTCCTCTCATTAAGTATTGTCTAACTAGGTACTCAAGACTACAGCTTCAGTTACCATCTTGTGTATTGATTCCCAAATTTATATCCGTAGCCCAGCCCTCTCCTCTGAATCTATTCAACATTTCTACATGAATGTTTCAGAGGCTCCTCAAAGTTAGCATATCGGAAACCAAACTGAATTCCCACTCACATTGTTTAGAGCTATTTTAGTGTTCCCTGCCATACTGAGTGGCACCAATTTCTTTTTAATTCACTAACTGATTTCTCTGCAACTACCTCGGCCCCCTCCAGCTCTTTAGGCTTCTGTCTTAAAAACACCAGTCTGACCATGTCATCCCTTTTCTTGAAATTCATCAGGAACTTCCTGTTGCTCTTAGGATGAAAAAAAAATCTTTAATGTATTCTGCAAGATCCTTCATGATCTGGTCTTAACCTCCCTCCCTTCGTCTTGTATTACTCTGCCTCATTTTCAGAGCTTTAGCCACACTTACCTTCTTTTTAGTTCCTTGAATCTGCACATTTACCCCACAGTATAACTTTGTTTATGTTATTCCCTGTATCTTTAGAACTAAGATCAAATATCATGTCCTCTAAGAAGCCCAGAGTTGAATTGGGTTTTGCTGGGGGTGGGGTAGGGGAAGGCAGGGTATGATGTGCTCTCTGAGTTTGTAGTTAAACATTTATCAGAGGGATGATTTTAGCAGTGTCTCTCCCGTAAGACCAGATGCTCCATAAATGCATGAGTCACATTTTGTTTGGTCCCTGTTCGTTCAGTGTATGTTTTCTGGACCCTGAGGATTCTCTTGAACCTATACTAGATATGTGGGAAGTAGATTTTGAGAAGTAATGTGATGTCTTGTTATGCTTCTTCCTGCTTAGGCTATTTTACTGAAAGCCTGAGTTTTTTAAGTTTAAAGATGTGTTGCCAGGAAGGGCAAACTTAGTCTTGTTGAGGTCATCTTATTTATAAATTGTTTGCCAAGTGTTGAATTCCCATGGTAGTATTGATCTTGTAGAATAGATTAATTTTATCTGTAGAAGCCTGAGAAAGTAAACCATTTTTAATCACTGTTGGAGTTGATTTACATTTCTTTAACTGTTCTACCAATGAACACCAGTGTTCCTAAAGATGTTTATACATATTTCTGAAAAAAAAGTGTTCTCTTAAATAAGCTTGGGCAGTGGTAAGTAAAACAAACTCAGCATTGAGAAATGTTGGGTTAGGCCTATTCAGTTTTCTTAGTAGAAACAGTATTTTTCATAAAATAACATCTGCCTTCATTAGGGTATTGTCACATATACTCTAATGGAGCCAGAAAGCCTTTCAATATATGGACACTTAAAAATGTTCACATATCTTCATGAGAGAGAAGGCATTTTCACAATAGTGTTCAAAAACTAGATACAAAATTCTGAGGCTAAAAGATAATTACACATCCGAGGGTGTGGCTATTAATAGGGTGTTTTTGTTTGTTTGTTTTGTTACAGGTCGGATCATGCTAAAAGGAGATAATATCACTCTGCTACAAAGTGTCTCCAACTAGAAATGATCAATGAAGTGAGATATTGTTGAGATGGCAATACAGGTCTTTTAGGTGTACTTGTTAGGCTTATAGTTCTAAAACATTTGTTCATATTGTTTTGATTACCCTTATGTTATTTCAAAATGACAATAAATACTGCGTGATTGTTTTTATTAAAAAATTTATGTTGCTTCTTTCTACCCAGTGGTAGAGACCTTTCACCCAGTAGCATGATTAGCTGCTGGTATTTATTTTAACATTTTCGGAAGGGTACCAGTTGTCTCGGCACATGCTTATCTCAGACCTTGGAGCTGTAGATTCTTGGGGCGAAGAGTAGGAATTCTACCTGGCAGGTAAGCTTCCATTATTGGCAAAGAAGGGGAGGGTCACAGAAACAAACAAGGGTTTTGCATTAATACATGTCTTCATAGGTTCTGCTTCTGGCTACTGGAACACTAGGGTTTCTAACCAAAATAGGTTGGGGACATTTTAAATAGGGTCGGTGTTAGCTCAACCCTCTCACTGAGTCACTGTGAGGTCTTTGTGAATTTTATCCCTAAGATCAGAATGTGAGAAGTATTTGGTTATAGGAAAAGGATGAAATGCCTTTCAAGTACTTTAAAAATGAGCTCTGTTAATAGGAAGGAGACTGTATGAGATTGATAGCCGGAAAAAGACCACAAACACAACTGGTAAATTGTTAAGCAGAATAATACTATGCAGGAGAAACACACCTGTCTCTTACTCTTTTTTTCTTTCCGTTTTCTTTTTCTTTCTTTCTTTTCTTTTTCTTTTCTTTTTTTTTTTTTAGAGAGAAGGGGGTCTCACTGTGCTGCTGAAGCTGGACTTAAACTCCTGAGCACAAAGCTATCCTCCCATTTCAGCCTCCCAAGTAGCTGGGACTGTAGGTGCCATATCACCTGTCACTGCACCTAGCTCTTATTCTTATCTCTGAGAATTTTAGTTTCTCCCTCAGTGATTGCTGATTCAATTCTTATGTGGACAAATCTCCCCTCCCAGCATTATCTCAGGGTGGTTCTAGTTAGAATTCTGTTAAATAGTTATTGAACTCTGGCATAAAGTTGAGTATACACAGTGAAACAGACAGATAAACAAATAGTTTTAATGTCACATCCTTAAGTGCTATTTAAATTGGATCTTGAAAGATGATTAAGTCCCACTTTTTTTTTTTTTTTTTTTTTTTGAAGCAGACTTTTGCTCTTTGGCCCTAAATAGAGGGCAGTGGTGTCATTGTAGCTCACAGCAACCTCAAACTCCTGGGCTCGAGCAATACTCTTGCCTTAGCCTCCTGAGTAGCTGGGACTACAGGCGTGTGCCACGACTAAAACATTTTGTATTTTTAGTGGAGATGGAGTCTTGCTCTTGCTCAAGCTGGTATCTAACTCCTAAGCTCAAGCGATCCTGCCTCTGCCTTCCAGAGTGCTAGTATTACAGGCATGAACCACCACGCCCAGCCAAGGCCATTAAATTCTGCTACAGGCAGTGTTATTAAGGATGAGCGAGGAAGGACCAATAAGTCCATCTCCTACTTTTCTAGGTGCTAGAGAGATCCATTAAACTGAATAAAAGAAATCCTTCCTCAGATAGAGGAGATTTATATGTGAGTGTAGAAGTCTATCCAGCTTAGAACTTTGCATTCCAGCTACAGTCCTCTCTTATCTGAACTTGTGCCTTTTTGGTTTTTTTTTTGAAATAAAGGGCTGCTTTAGCTCTTCTAACGTTTGAGTTTGGAATTTATTAAACCAATTACAGCATGCAAAGAAAACATTGAGCAGCAGAGGGAGTTAAAGTCCTGAGACTGCTTCAGCCCTGCTGGTGAAAAGATAACTGCTTTTTCACAGACCTCCCTGCAGCTTTCTTGGCACCAAAATAGCTGGGAAGAAGGATAAAAGCTGGAGCAGTATAATCCCTAAGAAAACCTGCTGGCTGCCTTTTCCATTTCCCTGTGTGGCCTTTCTGACCTGGCTACCCTGTGGAAGCAGAGCTGTGCCTGCTGTGGCTTGTTCTGAATGGATCAAGACATGGAAGGTTCTATTTTTGACAGCAAATGGTAGTGAGAATTAAGGTACAGTGAACTCTTACAATTGAGTTCCGTATTTAGAAATCTCTGCTTGCTTTCCTGCTCTACTGGAGCCTGTGGTGTTTGCTTTTTAAGTTGTACTTTTCCACAATCTGTAGACCCTTTCTTCTAAGCAGAGTTTGTATTGCAGGAGGCGTTGCTCTCTGCTGCATTAAGGTTACTAAAACATGCCGCTGGGAAGCTGCTCTTGGCAGCCCTTGGTATGTGAGCAATTATTTTTCTGGAATGGCTGTTGGTGTCTAAGGGGGTCTTGCTCAACACCCACTACCTCTCTTGTAACATTCTTTTTTTTTTTTTTTTTTGAGACAGAGTCTCACTTTTGTTGCCCAGGCTAGAGGGAGTGCCATGGCATCAGCCTGGCTCACAGCAACCTCAAACTCCTGGGCTCAAGCGATCCTACTGCCTCAGCCTCCCGAGTAGCTGGGACTATAGCATGCGCCACCATGCCTGGCTAATTTTTTGTATATATATTTTTAGTTAGTCAATTAATTTCTTTCTATTTTTAGTAGAGACGGGGTCTCGTTCAGGCTGGTTTCCAACTCCTGACCTCGAACAATCCACCCGCCTCGGCCTCCCAAAGTGTTCGGATTACAGGCGTGAGCCACTGTGCCCAGCCTTCTTGTAACATTCTTAAAGGTGGTGGGAGTAGAGAATTAGGCTCTGAAGGAAAAGTAAGTGCTGAAGTGGGCCTGGTGTTCTATTAGTAGCAGGTAGGGAGAAGGAAAAGTTTGAAAAATCCTAGGATTTTGTATTTGCAGGTGCCAGCTCTTGACATTGTATGTCACATTTGTCAACAATTTCAGGATTAGAGAGTGGATTCTATTTGGATTAAGGCATTCTGGGCCCGGAGGTGTCATGGACAATTCCTGGCATAAACCACATTAATAGATAGCTCATTGTGTTAACTGGATGACATAGGAGCCTTTCTTTAACTATTCCTTCTATAACCATAACCACCTACTTATGTAGGCTTTTTCTTTTCTTTTTTTTTTTTTTTTGAAACAGAGTCTCACTTTGTTACCCAGGCTAGAGTGAGTGCCGTGGTGTCAGCCAAGCTCACGGCAACTTCAGTCTCCTGGCTCAAGCAATCTTTCTGCTCAGCTCCCAAGTACTGGGACTACAGGCATGCGCCACCATGCCTGGCTAATTTTTTTCTATATTATTAGTTGGCCAATTAATTTCTTTCTGTTTATAGTAAAGATGGTGTCTTGCTCTTGCTCAGCCTGGTTTCGAACTCCTGACCTCGAGCAATCCTCGACAACCTCGCCCACCTCGGCCTCCCAGACTGCTAGGATTACAGGCGTGAGCCACTGCACCCGGCCTATAACTTCTTGTTTTTCCATTTTTTCTCCTTGGATTTATCATCTGGGAATTTCAAGGAGCACAAAAGCCAACTAGCAGTAGCTTGAACAAATACAAATTTATTTGCTCATAGTAAAGCTGAGATGGGTAGTCCAGCTATATGACATGTGTTGGTGTACAGCACACGCCTGTGCTAGTGTGACGGCAGTGATGCTGTTAGACAGCCGGCACTTCCATCTCTCCTTGCCGTTTCCCTCGGCACCTGGGCATTATCCTTATGCCTATCCTGTGATCACTAGATGGACGCTGCTCCCTAGGACAGTGGAGCATGCCATCAAGTCTGTCCTTGATAGCTTTCTCAGATTTCCACCCAAACACTTAGTTATATTTCATTGGCCATAACTGCGCCATTGTTGACTGCTAGCTACAAGGAAGTCTAAAAGTAAGTATGTGAGTCTGCTCAGGCTGCCATTACAAAATACCCCAGACTGAGTGGCTTAAACAACAGGTTACTTTCTCATAGTTCTGAAGGCTTGAGTCCCAGGTAAGGTGCTGGCAGATCCGTTTCTGAAGGCGCTTTTCCTGGCTTGCAGACAGCTGCCTCCTTCCTGTGTCCTCACATGCCCTTTCTCTGTTCAGAGAGATTTCTGGTGTTTCTTCCTTTTCTTATAAGGACAGTAGTCCTGCTGGATTTGGCCCTTATGATCTCATTTAATTATGGCCTTAAAGGCCCTGTCTCAAACACAGTCACATTCGGGCTAGGCTTCACATATAAATTTGGGAAGGAGGTACAGTATCAGGAAACATCAAGTGAACAGTAAGTCTTTAAGCTTAACTGCACTGACAAAATCGTGGTTTTGTCACTGTAGCAGACTCCGTGGTGCTCAGTGCTCAGCCCGTAACCCCTCGGCCTCCCGAGGGCATTTGCGACCAGTTGCTGCACACAACAATCACTTCTTGTGTCTTTGCTTGAGGGCGCTCTCTGGCCACCGCAGCATGCTTGGTCCACTTGCTGCCTGAGATTTACTGCTCTTGGAGAGAAGCCCTCACATCATAAGGGACTAGAGATGGGAAAAATACTGTTTGGTGGTGCAATTCCAAGGCATATTCTGTATCTCTGGTCCCCAATCCCGGTCTGTTTCCTGTTAGGAACCAGGCTGCACAGCAGGAGGTTGAGTGAGTGAAGCTTCATCGGTATTTACAGCTGCTCCGCATTGCTTATGTCGTCACATGAGCTCCTCCTCCTGTCACAGCAGCAGTGGCATCAGGGTCTCACATGGGCACAAATCCTGTAAGCTGGGCATGCGAGGGTCTAAGTCGCACGTTGCTTATGAGAATCTAATGCCTGATGATCTGAGGTGGTGATGCTAGGTCGGGCAGCGGCTGCAGATACAGATTATCATTAGCAGAGAGGTTTGACTGCACATTACAATGGATGTAATGTGCTTGAATCATCCCGAAACCATCCCCGCCCCACCCCGTCCATGGGAAAATTGTCTTCCATAAACTGGTCCTGGTGCCAGGAAGGTGGAGACTGCTGCCTACATAGTCTGTCAGAAGGTCCAAGCAGAATTGAGCCCGGTTACCCAGTATTTAACCAGCTTACTAAAGCAAACTGTATTAGCTTTCCTGCCATTTCTGTTTACTTCCCTCCTCTCTTATTGTGCTTTCTGGCAGCGTCTCCTAAATAACTACTGACACCCAAACCCTAACCTCAGAGCCAGCTATTGGACGAACACAAGATAGCAAGGTGGAAAAGGAGAATGAACACTGGTGGACAACTAGGACTGTCC